CATAATAATCTTCGAGAAGATTATTGAAAATGCCATTGGTAAACTTAAGAACGGAGAAACCAATAGTGCCAAGAAAGGTGGAATGCTTAAGAAAAAAGAAAATAAAGCCCAAACAGTAAATTTTGAGTGACGGCAATCCAAAAGTTATGCTCTATATCTACTATATGTTCATTCTGCTTACTACCTAGCAACCGATAATATTGCACAAGTCTCTTTCCAGCCTCATTGCCCAGCCATGAACAACATCGCTCTAAGTTCTAATCAACTAATTTTTCCAGCACCTACATATGGGCCTAGTTTTGTTAGTACACCAGTTTCAAGGCATTACAATCAAGCGAATAGTTAGGAAAGATCTAGAAGTAACCAAGAAAGAGCGTTCATATTGATCATATCCCCATAATCTATGCTAAGCTATTTTCAAGAATTAGTCAAGAATAACTTGGTATCCTCAATCCTTTTAGAGCTATTGAAGTCACCCTATCTCAAATAGTATAATGTTAATGCCATATGTGACTACCATAATGGGAATGTGGGTCATTCCATAGAAACATGCCCTACTTTCAATCACAAGGTGCAAAGTTTAATCCCAACAGGCTCGATAAGCTTTAATGAATTAGAGGAGCTGAATATCCACAAAAGCTATTTGCCCAATCACCTAAGGGCATGATTTAGGGAGGCTAATTGGAATTGCTTATTATCTCAGGATTTCTTGAGAATATGAATCTCTTTTATGTATTTGATTTCATTTTATTTTTTATCATTTTAATAAAAGTGGCTAATTTGATGTATCTTCATGATAGTTTCTTTTCTGTGTGAATTATCGTTATATATTTTTACTTTCTCATATCTTTTCCCATATCCATTATTTGATTTCAAATAATGAATGTTCAGACAGTAATGATAATAATTCAGGATTCAATTTTGAAAACATCATTCATAATGATTTGATTGATAAATTGAGATTATTGATTCATTGATACTGCTAAATAAAATAAGATAAATCTGACAAAGAATTTTGCTTGTTGAAAGATGAAATTGATGTAATACATGATATTTGCAATGGTTCATTCATAAATCCGCTCTTAGCTAATCAATGTTTCCCATTGAGAGTATTCATGTTTGAAATGATAAATGGTCATTTTTCTTCTACCTTTCACAAAATGAGTAAAATTATCCTTTGCTACCCTATTTAAGCCTGTTGAAATTTTTTTTAGGAACCTTAACCAAGGATCATCCCCACACTTAAGGTAAAATTTGAAATGCTTGTTTTATCCTTAGTGATTTTAGGGGTAAAGCCTTTTTGTACTCAAATCTTTCTTGAAAAATAATAAAAAATGGAAAAAAGAATTAAGAAAAAAAAAGAAAGAAAAAGAGAAAGAAAAAAAAATTGATGGGGTAAAATATTAAGGTGCTCTACATTAAAAGAAATGATTTTTGGTTTAATAACCCTTTAAATATAATTTGAGCCTATTTTGTCCATTTCTTTCATAACCCCTCATCCTAGCCTACATTATGTCATTTAAAAGCTTATTTTGATCGAATGTGACTACTTAAATTAGGAAATTATAAATTGAATTAAGGTAGATTTGCCATTGGATTGCTTGGAGTTTTGGTCAAAGTATCATTGATGGATCAAAGGGGAAAAAGAAATGAGAAGAAAAGATGAGAAATAGGTGTGCTAAAAAAAAAAGAAAAAAAAATGAAGACTTAAATTAAAAACCCAAAAAGGACAGTTTAAATAAAGATGAAAACTAAGAAAAACAACTTCATGTGAGAATCCTAAGAATAAGGATGATGATTTACTCAAAGATCGAAGATATTGATGGAATGTGTTTTTGAAAGACAATTCTGAGTTTAAATTTAAAATTGTCTGAACAATCATTGTTTTGGATGTTAATATCCCATTTACATAATCATAGCATTTTGCTTTCATTTATCTTTTAGTTGTTCTTGAGCATACCTTTTTTTTTTGTTCAATAATAAAGACCAAATTTTCTTGTTCTTAACCAAGAGTACATATCCTGAATGAATCAAGAAAATGTATTATATTTGTCATGAATTTGAATGATGATAAATAAATTAATGGCAAAGGTCGTAAAAGATTTTTTCATTATTTTGAAAGAAATCCAAGATGAAAAAAGTGAAAGAAGCCTGAGAAAATGATTTAAAAAGGGCAAGCAAGGTGACACAGTGATGAATATAGTGATAGATTGGTTGATTTAACCTGTGAGTTATGATCAAATAAAGAAAATGACATGGATCAGTTTACAAAATTTATTTTGAGATTGTTAGTACTAAAAGCTAAGAAGGAATGGTAGAGTCTTGAGAACCTTGTTACCATGATTAGAATTTCATGATATTAATTTAGTGATATTTGCATTACATAGATGGTGATAATTGCATTTGCATCATGTAGAGAATATTTGACTTACAGTAGGACATTGGCATTTGCAACATTTAGTGAGAATCTAGATTGTGGCATTTGCATGACATTTGTCATGTACAAGAATTTGATTGTGATTAGGGAAATTTTTTTACTTTTGAATCCTCAAATGAGGAATATCTTTCATAACGAGATTTTTTGTTGACGAACTTTTCAAACTTTTAAAGTTATAAAGCCTTTATTTAAATAAAATTTTCAAATGAGATTCTTTAAATTTTGGAAAATTTTTGAATGTGAAGCTTTAAAATTTCAGATGTGAATCTCAAAATTTTTGAATAAAAATCTTTAACTTTTGGATGTGAAACCCTAAAATTTTTTTGAACAAGAATCTTTGAACCTTAAAATTTTTAGTGTTAATCCTTGAATTTTTCAAACATAAAGCATTAGATTTTGGATCATTTGAATCTGAATCTTTGAAACTCTTGCAAATCTAAAATTTTTACAAACTTGAAACTCTTGCAAAAATTGGAATTCCTATAAACTTTTACGAATCTTGACCTTTTATGAATTTCGAAATCTTTGCGAATTTTTTACGAAACTTGGAATATTGGGGTTTTTCAATTTCTATTAGGGAACCTTGCAAATCTTTGAATTTTCAAATTGTGAATCTTTGGATTTCGAGCTAAAATTTTGAATTTTATTTTTTTGACTTGTGGTTCAGTCCTAGTCACTCATCTTTGATCTTGATTCAGTCAAACCATTTATTTTTTTGACTTATGGTTCAATGTCGATCACTTATCTTCGATCTTGGTTCAATTCAGATCATTCATTTTTTTTATTTGTAGTTCAATCTCTATCATTCATGTTAGCTTTGGCTTAGTCCAGGTTATTTATTTTTTTGACTTGCAACTCAATCCTGATCATTTTTTTTTTGTACAACTTAGTCATTTATTTTTTTGACTTTGTGGTTCAGTCCTAGTCACTTATTTTAAAGTTGTTTAGCCTCTGACTAAAGAAGTCAATTTCCTATTTTAAAGTTATTTAGCCTATGTATAGAAGAGCTTTTTTTTTTTTTTTTAAATTGCATGTCTCTGTTTAAAGGATCATTGAGTTGACCCGAACAAAACAATGTCTTTTTCTTTTTACGTAATTCTTGTTTCACAAAACTGTACAAAAAGGAACAGTTGTAGACACCCTATTTAGTTTGGGGCTCAAGCTAAGCCTAATTGTCTAATTTTCTGCATTTTTTTTCTTGTTTGTCTTATTTATTTATTTGTTTATATTTATTTTTTTCTATATATTTTTAATTTTTTATTTATCTAGTTCTAAATTTTTATCATAAATAATAAATATTGTGGAGTAATTTGAGCACTAATCAAGGATGATCTCAGCAATTAAGACTTAAACATGATCTCGTCATATATTAAAGGAAGGTTGAAAAGCAACCAAATTAGGGAATCAAAGTCAAATTTAATTTGGGGAAGTTTTAAGAGATTCTGAAAATCAAGGAAAATTGAGATAATTTCAAAAATTAATTAAATTGATTTTAAAGAGAATTAAGAAAATAAATCAATTCAAAGCATAATCAGATATGTAATTTTTTTATTTAATGCAAATCCCTAAAATTTCTAGTAGAAGGTCCTATATAAACACCAATCAACCACACATAAAAACAAAGGGGCTGAAGAAAAGATTATGCAAAAATTCTTGAGGAAAAAAAAGAGAAGAAAATCTTTAAGAAAAAATATAATTTCTAGCAGTAGGTTTCTTTTTGGAATTCTTTGTAAAATTTGGAATTATGAAGATTTATTCTAGTAAGCTAATCCGACTTTAAGTATTCTTTTTATTTTTATTTATTTAACTAATTTATTTATCTATTATTCCTTCAATATATATTTATAAAAACATATTTGAATAAAAGCCTTACCAACATATTGGAAGGCAATCTTTAAAAAATATGGTTATATCAACATATTGAAAAACCTTATAATTTTATTTATTTTAAAAAAATATTTAAATAAAAGCCTTACCAACAGATTGTAAGGCAATCATTTTTTAAAAAATGTGATTTTACCAATATATTGAAAAACCTTATAATTTTGTTTTTAAAAATACATATATAAATAAAAAGTCTTATTAACAGATTCAAGGACTTTTTTACCCGATTTATAAATATTTATTTCTAGAAACAAAATTAAATTAATCCGACGATGGAGCCTCTTCAAAGCATAACAAATAGTCTCTTTAAATATTCTAAAGGTGAAAAATATTATTAAATTATGACAAACATATTGGAGTAATTTAAGGAAAATTTTCAATATTAAAACTAGTTGATAAATTATAAATAAATTTTAAGGCTTGGATACTTTGAAATCAAATTAGTATCATCTTTTGGATGGACGCTGTGAGAGTGCTATAACATTTTTCATACATAATTGCACTCTCAAACTTAAATCTGATTTAGTAAACTAGAATCTATTATTTAAAAACATTTAAGTTAATATGAGGATTTCTCTTTAAAAAAGATAAATTCTGTCAAGTGACTAATTACATCTTAATATAAAAGATTAATGGTGACTTATAAAATTTATATCTAGTGATAAGTCTATGAATTTATACATTATGACATTATATTTATAAAAACTTATACTGAAAGTTAATATTACCCTCCAAGTCTGTAAGCATCGCTTGTGTTCAAACTTCAAAGTTTGGCGTGTTTGAATTAATCACGTTAACCTTGACCCCAGTCTCCACGAATGACCCTCCAAGTCTGTAAGCATCGCTTGTGTTCAAACTTCAAAGTTTGGCGTGTTTGAATTAAAAACACGTTAACCTTGACCCCAGTCTCCACGAATGACCCTCCAAGTCTGTAAGCATCGCTTGTGTTCAAACTTCAAAGTTTGGCGTGTTTGAATTAATCACGTTAACCTTGACCCCAGTCTCCACGAATGACCCTAGTCTCTGCGAATGTAAAGAATTTGGAGAATTCACCGGTCCGTCTACAGGCTAGGCTGGATCTATCCTAGCCTCCATAGTTAAATTGTTGTGAAATGTTTGTTTCGTTCCTTGGAAATTGATCTTTTGTTCCCTTTACTTATTCTCCAACTCCACTGTTTCTAGTTCCTCTGTGGGTATTGGCCTATTTTCTGATAGAAGGAAAAACAAAAAAACTATTTCAAACACCAGATTGAGATATCTTCCTCCTCCTCCTCCTTATGTTGTCGCTATCATCATCATCATCTTCTTCTTTTTCTCGACACAAATATGATGTTTTCTTAAGTTTTAGAGGTGAAGATACCCGCAAAAACTTCAGTGATCATCTATATGCTGCTTTAAAAAGGAATGGAATCGTCACTTTCAGGGATGATCCAAAGCTTGAGGCTGGAGAGGAGATCGCAGCAGAACTGTTTAAAGCGATTCAAGAGTCATGGTGTTCAGTAATTGTTTTTTCTGAAACGTATGCCTTTTCAGGTTGGTGCTTGGACGAGCTCCATGAGATCGTTAAACAGAAAAACGAGAAGGGGCATAAAATTTTCCCAATTTTCTATGATGTGGATCCATCTGATTTGAGAAGACAGACAGGGAAAGTTGAAGAAGCCTTTGTCAAACATGAGGAGAAATACAAGGAAAACAAAGTCAAGACCCAAAGGTGGAGAATTGCTTTAACTGAAGTGGCTAATGTCAAAGGATGGCATTTAAATAGCAGGTAACTCTTTCTTTTGCTCTCTACTTTCTATGAATACAAGCCCTGTTATATTTTTGCTCTGTTTTTGCTCCCATATTCTATTATAAAAAAACAAAAAGAGCTTAAAAATATATTAGGATCATCCTAGAAATGAGTTCTGAGGCACTCACTAAAACAATGCTGTCTCATAACTTAATCAAAGTTTTAGTTAATGAGAATGGATTTGGATGATTTTAATATACTTTAAGAGAAATTATTTAATCAACGCAGAGTTTATAGAAGTTAATTGGGAGACACATAATTTTGATGTATATTAGAAAATAAAATGTGTTGTAGTTTTTAATGTGTTTATAGAATTAAAAAATTAAACCGGCATTGTATTAAAAATAACTTATAATTTAAACTCTAAAATAAAGTCATAAATACTTGTAACCTGAAAGACAATTGCTAGTATTTTATTTTGACAACTAATAAGAAAGTACAATGATAAATTTAAAATTTTTAGGGCGGTTTGAAAGAATTTGATTTTTTTTTTAAAATTTTGTTTGTGGGAATGTCATTGCACATTTGGTTTATAGTTATCTAATTTTTGAAGGTAATTTTAGATTTTCAAAAATACTTAAAATTTTTGGAATAAAAAACTCACATCTTTTTTGTGATTTTTCAAGATTTCGGAAAAAAATTTTATTTTAACATATTTGACCTGAATAAAAAATTATTTCATTTTATTTTATCCTTTTGAAAATCAACCAATAGAAAAAAATATAATAATAATTTTTTATTCATAAACGTAAAATCACACAAATATTGTATTCCTTGGAAGCTTAACGTAGTGTTCTGAGTATGCTCTTTTGTATTTTAATGTTAAATATGACATTTGTGGAAAACCAAATGCAGTAATTGTTTAATAATTGTTTTTTGAAAAATTTTTAAAACAACCATAATTTTTTTTTTGAACAAAACATTGTAATTGCTATGAAATAATTAATTTATCACCTGTGTATATTTTATCATTTTGCTATCAAGACTGCATTTCTAATATAACAAACGTAGTAGTTGTTAACAAAATAACTATTCAAACAACAAAGACCACTTTCAAAAAGTAAAATAATTTTTTTTTAATAACGAAGATTATTTTCTCTTTTTCGACGATATCACAAAATTTTAATCAAAACTTTTTTTGTTTCAACCAAATCAGCCTCAACTTTCACGATGTCATCTTCGTACTATTCATTTTATCTTCTATTTATTAATAAATGGTTAGTCTACTATCTATTACAAATGATTATTCTGCATTATTTGCTCGATTCAAATGTCTTCTTGTTTAATTTGTTTATAGGGTTTATGGGATTATGGGGTTTCTGTGAAGTTACAAATATTTGCATCATTTACGCGTTTTTATATTTAGAAACGCCATGAATGACTCTTAAAAACTTTTTTTTTTAATTTTTTTCTCAAATATGATGTTTCTCAAGATAGAAATGTTGTCATTATATGGAAACATAATATTTATTTAAATGTAAAAAATGATGTTTTTATTAGATAAATGTATGGTTGTTCTTTGCTTAATTTTTTATTTGATTCAAATACGATGTTATAGAAGATGGTAACATTGTATATGAACCAAATACTACACTTCTATTTTGAAAAACATCGTATTTGTGTAATTTCCGTTTTTCCCTAAGGTGATCACATTGTTTTTATTACATTAACATCATATTATTATATTTTTTTATTTTTTAATAAAAAACTATATTTGAATTCAAATTTTGTTGGTAAAAGATTATATTATATTTAATAAAAATGATGTATTTGACATGTAATGAAGGACATTATTGTAAAAAAACTTTATTTAAGTCATCTAACTTCTTCCGAACTAAACATAAGAATATAATATTCCCATGCCAATAAAATCACCTTTGCCATAAATCAAAACTTTCTCAAGAATCATTTTTTCTCTTGAAATCTAAGATTCCGTGAATCAAATGACTCTTAACATTATCATACATTTGTTTGATAAAACATTATGTTGAGTTTCTTTACTCATTTAACATCATCGTCATTTTCTTTAGCTGTTAACTTCTCAATTAGCAACTTTTTTGGGTGGTTGTAGGCATGAATCGGAATTTATTGGAGACATTGTCCAAAAGATATCGGCTAAATTATGTCAAACATATTCAATTTTTCCTGATGAATTGATTGGAATTAATTCACGTTTGGAAGAGTTGTATTCGAAAATAGACATTGGGGAAGACGATGTTCGCATCCTAGGGATTTGTGGTATGGGTGGCATTGGTAAAACGACTCTTGCAAGAGTTGTTTATACCCAAATGTCACCTCATTTTGAAGGTAAAAGCTTTCTTGCCGATGTTCGAGAAGTTTCAGAGAAATGTGGACTTGTTTCTTTACAGAAACAACTTCTTTCTCAGACCTTATTGGAAGAAAGTTTCAATTTATTCAATGTTCATGAAGGGATTGCCATGATTAGTCATAGGCTATCTCACAAAAAGATTCTTCTTGTTATTGACGATGTTGATAACATACAGCACTTAAAATTCTTGGTTGGAAGGCTTAATTGGCTGGGGTTAGGGAGTAGAATCATCATAACAACTAGAGATGAACATTTGCTGCGATGTTATGGAGTTGATGATGTGTATAAGCCGACATTATTGAATGCCAATGAAGCACTTCACCTCTTGAATTTGAAAGTTTTCAATAGTGATACAGTGCCGAAAAATGATGACTTCGTTGAGCTTTCTAGACATGTTATAAAATATGCTGACGGCCTTCCATTAGCTCTTGAAGTTTTGGGTTCTTTTTTGTGCGGTAGAGATGCAACTCAATGGAGAAGTGCAATTGAAAGACTTAAAAGAGATTCTAATAAAGAAATTCTCGATAGACTTCAAATAAGCTTCGATGGATTAGACGAAATAGAGAAGAATATATTTCTAGATATAGCATGCTTCTTCAATAAGGAGGAGAAAGATTTTGTCATAAAAGTATTGGATGGTTGCGAGTTTTTCCCGGATATTGGAATAGATGTTCTCATTAAAAAATCTCTTGTAACAGTTGATAAAGATAACAAATTGTGGATGCATGACTTGCTACAAGAGATGGGAAGAAAAATTGTTAGGCAAAAATCTCTGGACGAACCTGGAAAACGTTGTAGATTGTGGGACGAAAAGGATGTCTATCATGTGCTAACAAAAAACACTGTAAGTCATTCCACGAAAATTGCGAAATATTTTTTTATTTATTTAGATTTTATGCTCAACATGATAAATTACTATTATGACATTAATCCTAAATTTCATATATTAATTAGGATACACCAAAGTTTTAAATGGGAAAATACACGAATTAGTCATTAACTTATTTTAAGTCACTATACTTTTGTTTCATGAAATCACCCCCACATTACCATTTGTGTTGAATTATTATATAAGGTTTATACATTTTGTGTAGTTAAGGAATATCAATGATAGGAAAGGCGAATGGCTGTTAAAAACAATGATCTGCCTAATCAATGAGAAATAAATAAATATATATGTATCAAGAGAACTCTTCCCAACACTTAAATTTGATTAAATTTTTATTTTAAAAGTTTCAAGTTAGAATCTTAAGAGGATAATATCATTTATACCCAAAAATGAAGCAAATGCTACTGACATGGCAATTAAGAATTCAATTGACATGGCAAGATCATATCATTAATATCATTTATAATCTATTATATTTAATATATATAATCTATTATATTTATAAAGTGTTATTTTAAATATTTTGATTAAGATGAACTTTTTTGTTCACTATATTTTTTAAGTGTTTCATTTAAAATATTTTTTTGTTCATTATAAATATTAATAAAACTTATAGGATGTGTAAAAATAAGAATTTAATTTCGTTGAATCACTTTTATTTAAAAATGCTTTACTTAGTTCATAATTTTATTCATTATCTTGAACCAACAGACTAGAATAATGTTAAACCTAAGACTGATAATCATAAATGTAAGTTTTCACAAGTTTTATCATATAATTTATGCCATCCAATATTTTGTGTCGTCTTATGCTTTATTTTTTTATTTTTAGGCTAGGGAAATGAATTTTATCATGTAATTTATAACGTTCATTTTGTGTCCTCTTATGCTTTAATTTTATTTTTAGGCTACAGAAATGATTGAAGGCATGATCATCGACAATAAAAGGTGAAAAAACATACAAACACATGTATCTATGTATATATGTATAATTTTAGTGTTGTTGTTTTTATTATTATTTGATCTTGACTCGTGATTGCTAGACATAAGAATATTTTGTTATAGGTTACATTCGTTTACTCCTTTTTTTTTTTTTTTTTAACGTATGAAAGTCCATTGGATTTGAAATAAATAAAATAGTTCTCTCCTTTCATGTCTGTCATCCTCTCATTCCAATTATTATAACCTCGAACTAGTCAAAATTGAAAAGACGAGTCATATGTAATAATTAAATGACTAATGAGATTTAAAGCATAACCAATAAAAAATAAAATCAGGAAATAGGAGAACTGATTGTGTAATTTAAAAGAAAAAATTGCATCGATTAGTTGATGTTTTTGTTGTTTACTTTTTGTTATTTGCCTTTTTTTTTTCTTGTTTATTATTATTTTTTTTACCTTTTATTGTTTAGACTTACATTTAAAAAAAAAAAAGACTCTTTAACAAAAATTACATAATTATCCAAGCCTCTATATTTTATTGCAATCAAGAATTCTCAAAAAATTATTTTCATCTAACTGAACTTTTACCTAATTGAGCCTTTAAACATTTGTTTTTCATCCAATTAGGCTCTCAATTGGATGGAAATTAGTGTTGGTGGTTAACCAATTTTCATCTAATAAGGGTTCAATTAATAAAAATAAATGTTTGAGCACTTAATTAATTGCAATAAAATGATAAAGACTTCGATATTATTTAATTTTAGTTTAAGGGCTTTTTTATACTTATGCCTATTATTTTATTGTAAAAGAAAACAGCAAAAGCTTTCATGCTTAATTTTTCAATGTCCCATATGTTCAATTTATCAATAAAACACAATAGTCTTTCAAAGTAGGATAGATAGATATATGTGTTGGTGAATATTAATTCTAGTTTTTTAGGTGTTGAATGCTTTGTATATTTGGAAGCTCATTTTTGTTTTACCCTTGGTTAGCAAGGAACTGAAATCTCTCACATTAAGTGCAAATGCCTTCTTGAAGATGAAAAAGTTAAGATTGCTCAAAGCCTTCTATCTCCCAAATTCTCATGATCTCAAATACCTTTCCAATGAGTTACGGCTTTTTGAGTGGCATGGATATCCTTTAAAGTCCTTGCCTTCAAGCTTCCAACCGGACAACCTTGTTGCACTTCTTGTACCTTATAGCCGCATTCAACAACTATGGAAGGGAAAAATAGTAAGAATTACTTTACTTGATATTTTTCTTTTAGCTTATTTTGAGATGAATTATCAATAATCTGAATAACATATAACTTTTCTTGTGTTTTCTCTTGTCTCTCTGTAATTTATTATTGTTTTCAGGAGTCATTATATAAGTTGAAATTGGTCAACCTCAAAGGCTCCCAAAACCTGATCAAGACACCAGACTTAACAATGGCCCCAAATCTCGAAAGTTTAATTTTGGAAGGTTGTACCAGAATTGTAGATGTTCATCCATCTATCGGAGTTCTAAAAAAGCTTAAACATTTGAATTTAAGAGACTGCAAAAGTCTTAGGAGTCTTCCAACCAAAATTGGAACGGAATCACTTGAAACATTAATTCTTACAGGCTGCTCAAATCTTCAAAGGTTTCCAGAAATTGGTGGGGAAATGAAATGTTTGATGGAGCTTTATTTAGATGGAACAGGAATTGAAGAACTTCCCTCTTCAATTGGACAACTCAGCAATCTAGTTTTGTTAAATCTCAAAAATTGCAGAAAGCTTTCCAGTCTCCCAAGCAGCATAGATGGGTGTAAATTTCTAAAAACTCTTAATATCTCAGGCTGTTCTAGAATCAAAACTTTGCCGGAGAATTTGCAGCAAGTAGAATTATTAGAGGAGCTTGATTTAAGTGAAACTGCCATGCGAAAACCACCATCCTTCATTTTTCAATATAAAAAGCTTAAAGTCTTGTCTTTCAGGGGATGCAAGGGACCACCATCTAAATTACGACCAAATCCGCCTTCTCTTTTCAAGGTATTGCAAAGAGGAAGTACGGACTCTTTGGCTCTAATGTTACCTCGTTTGTCAGGTTTGAGTTTTTTAAAAGTGTTGAATCTAAGTGACTGCAACCTTTGTGAAGGGAATATTCCTGATGATATTTGCTGCTTATCATCTTTAGAAGAATTAAATCTTAGTGGTAACAGTTTCATCAGCCTACCTGAAACTGTTACTCGACTTTCCAAGCTTCGTTTTCTCCTATTGTCAGATTGCAAGCGGCTTAAATCATTGCCTGACCTTCTAGCAAGCATAGAAGGTGTGATCATAGATGGTTGTGTTTCATTGGAAGTATTAGAAAATCCGACAACCGTATGCAATTCACTAGATTGGGTTTATCTTCATGGTACTAATTGCTACAGATTGGCGGCCAATAACGATTCATTAGCATTACTAAAAAACCATATGAAGGTTGGTATACGTTGAAAAGTATTGACTTTCTCCAATATTTTTCTTATATGAAAGTGGTGATAAATGAAACCACACCTCTGTTCAATTAAGGTATTTTGAACATATAAATAAAACAAGGGTCATTCAACTCACTCTATCTATTACCAATTGATTTTAAATTGAATTTGTCTTAATAATTTATCATGATATTAGTGCAGGCGTTGTTCAATTTAAAAGTCTAATGTTAACTGTATCTCCCTCGCTTTGACTGAATCTCACAGTCAACCGAATTTTGTTTTGCAGGTATTTGCAAATGAAAGAACAATAATTGATATTTTTGTCCCTGGAAGTGAAATCCCAGAATGGTTCTGCCATCATAGGGCTGAATCAATAAAGATAAAACTGCCTCCTAATATTCAGAATGATAGTCGGTGGATGGGAGTTGCTTTGTGCTGCGTATTTGTGTCTGCCTTCAATGATAATGGTGATAGTGAAGAGGATAGTTTTATGTTTAAAGTCATTATTAGTGGTAGAAATCCTCGAAAAGTCGATTGTAGTGACTTTATTTTTAGGAGAAACTATAGACCGCCTCGAGTTACGAAGGACCACCTTTGGCTACGTTATTGGTCTCGAGACAAGTTATATCCGTTATTATTGGAGGACAGATATGGTGAAAATGAGAATTTATTGAGCAAAGATCGAGCAGACCAGGAAGGCAATGAAACTGAGTTGTTATTGGAACCCTGTGTAAATGGCATGCGTCCCAAGTTGAAGAAATATGGGGTTCGAATAGTGTACAAGAAAGATTTGGAAGAGATGGCACCAATAAACGACCAGCATAGCAGTCCAACTTCTGCAAATTTTAATGATATCCATCAAGACAGAATTGATCATGGATTAACAAGGAATGGTGCCCTAAAGCGAAAACGGAATACCGATGAGGAGGCAGGAACTAGTGAGAGTGACAACACTGACGAGAGACCACAACCAAAGCGGTTAGAAAAAATTTTAGATCTTATAATGAGGAAGAAACATTTTTGGTAAACTACTAATTGCAAGTCTTTCTAATTCTTTTTGCCAGACCTTTTAAATTGTTTAATTTTATTTGTGTTCATTTTTTACACGATTTAAACTTCGACTTTATGAATTGTTTTCTTTATTTTACATTTTATTATTTCAATAATTAAAAAAAACTGCTTTACATCTATGTGCTTTTTTTCCAAGTTGAAAGATAATTATCAGGTGGAATAAATTGTTAGGATAAGCGGGGGCAAGTATCACTACTGCATAAAAAGGCTGATGAGGAGTTGGAATTCTTCTAATGTTCAACATGGAGCATAACCATCTTATATTGGCCGTACCAAGATTTCAACCAAGTAAAACGCCAATTTTTTATTTGGATTTGTCAGAATCATTGAAACCAAGTCATATTTATTTACGTTCGTGTTGCTTAGGCCTCATATATATATACATATATGAATACATCTATATATATATATATATAGATGTATTCATATATTTTATTTACGGTCGTGTTGCTTAGGCCTCATATATATATACATATATATATATATATATATTTGCGATCCGTATTTGGTTGAAGATAATTTTTGCTGTTTTTGGTGTGATTGCTTGTATTTATGAATGTACTAGGTTTTAACACGTTCATGACGTACATGTAATTTTTATTTCTAAAAATTCATATTACTAAATTTTTTTTGTATTATGATAACAATGATAAATAATATTAATTTAATTTTAATTTTGATATAATATAAGTAAAATTTGATAACTTTTGATAAAATTTTAGTAACTTTCGATACAATTTTGGTAATTATTGATAAAATTTTAGTAATCTCTTGATGTAGTTTTAATAATTAACCTTCTAGTAATTTATAATATATTTTTATTAATCGATGATAAAATTTGAGTTATCATATATTTAATAATGAATTCTCATAAGAAACCTCAAATTCAATTCTAGTATAAGATAATTTTTTATATAATAAATATTATTTCATTCAAATTTAGAATTATTTTTTACTAAATTTTTTATTAAATAGGTTCATGATAGTTATCCAAATCTCCCAAGATAAAATATCAAGGTTCATTTCTGTTAATAATCAAGATTCAATTCCTAACCACTTCAAGTTCAAAAAATTTATCAATGATTGTCAATTAAGTTATCATTAATTTATTATTATATTATTAGCAATTTACTACTAAGCTATAAGTGATATATTATTAAATTATCAATAATTTACTACTAAATTAGCATTGATTTACTATTAAATTATGAATGATTTATTACTAAGTTATGAATGATTTATTATTCAATTATTAATGATTTATTAAGAAATTATTGATGATTTGTAACAAAGTTATAACTGATTTACTATTAATTTGTGGATGATTTACTACAAAGATATCAATAATTAACTAATTTACGATTAAACTATCATTAATTTACTATTAAATTATCAATAATTTACATATAAATTATCAATGATTTACTATTATATTATTATGCATTTACTATTTTGTTATCATTAATTTACTATTTAATTTTAGTTTATTTACTGTAGACATCCTAATTTGTCCGAGCATAGTTCAACGAAGGCTGGGCCTAAGTCCATTGGGCTTAGCTCAGATATGTTTCAGTAAGGACAGACCGACCCAGTTTTATTTTATTTTAATTTATTTTGTTTAACTTTTTTTTTAAAATTAAATTATTATTTTCGGTTGATTTTATTTTATTTTCATTTTATTTTATTTTTTATTATTATTATTTTTGGTTTCCTTGTTCAAAATGGAGTCTTAATTTTATATATGATTTTTTTATTTTATTCTTTTTTGTTTCCTTCTAGAATAGGGGCTGGTAGGGTTGGACTCGGATTCAAGGATTGAATCCCAGTCAAATAGGGAATAGGAATTGATCAAAAATTGTTTCTGATCAATGCCTATAAATATAAGCTTACACAGAAACAATAGACACAAATCAAAAGGGAAACACAGGCGTAAACAGAGAGAAAAGGTATTAGGCAAATTTTAGCATTTTTTTAATTTTTGGCATTTTTTTTTGGAAAAATTTTTGGAATTTCCAAATTTCGGTTAAATTTCGGTTAAATTTTTTCCAGAATCCGGTGAAAATTCAATCAGATTTTGGGTTCTGTTCTAGAAAGAGGCGAGAGAAAAAGGGAGAAGAGAGAGAGGGAAGAAGGGAAATTTGAAGGAAAAATTGGGTTATTGGCTTTTATATTAGGGTAAAACGACGTCATTTTGGCTTTAGTAAACACCCAGCATCCGCACGTTTTTACTTGGTTCAACTTGACCCAATCGCAACCTGATTCACTGACCCGCATTTCAGATGATCTATTCCAGCCTAGGTGAGCCAAGCCAAAATTTTGAGCCGTATCTTTGAGCCACCTTTTCTGTCTCGAGTCGAGCCATTTTCCAGCCCAAGTCGATCCAATTTTGAATTTGTTTTTGTATTTTCTTATTTATTTAATTGAAACATTTTATTTATTTATTTATTTACAATTTTTTTATATAAAAAAAAATAAAAAATATAAAATTTTAGAATTAAATAAAATTATTCAATGATGGAATTTATAAAAATTTCAAATGGTAAATTTTTATAAAATTCCTAGGTGAGAAATTTTATCTAGATTTGTCCCAAATGGTGAAATAATTTAGATGAAATTTCAATAAAAAAAAATTGTATTTTTTTTCAAATAAAAATTTGGATTGAAAATATTTGATAATTACCCAATGATGAAATTTTTAAAAATTTCAAATGGTAAATTTCTAAGAAATTTCTGGGTGAGAAATTTTCTCTAAATTTAGCCCAAATGGTGGAATAATTTAGATGAAAATTTTCAATAAAAGTAATTATCATATTATTTTCTTTTCAAAGAAAAATAAAAAAAATTTCTAAACAGGCCCAAATGGTGGAAAATTTTAGAAATTCAACAAAAAAATTTTTTTAATTTGGCCCAAATGGTGGAATAATTAGATATATTTTTTGGAAAAAAAAAAAATAATTAAACCTTTTTCCAAGGATGGAGCCTTTTCAAGAAATCAAATTGGATTCTTGAATACTCTTGAAATAAGGAAATATTTGTTAAAGAATTCTACCAGATTGATGGAGGAATCTTATAAATTATTTTCAATATTTCAACATAAAATTTGAAACCATTAAACTCAAGACTTTAGGATAAATTCGAAATAATATAGTACCATTATTCGGATGGGCATGTAGGGGTGCTATAACCTTCTCCATATGTAATCGACTCTCGAACCCTGTTCTGGTTAGTAGACCTAAACCTATTCTTTTAGGGACCCTTAATCAAGTTTAGGAGTTCCTTGAGAGGATAGATTTCTTAGGTGGCCAATCACACCTAATAAAAAAGATTGATGGCGACTCCATTCATTTAATAAGTCTAGCTATAAATTTTTAGATCTATATGTTATGACAATTTAAAGAATCCACTGGGGACGCTATAGAAAGTCAAGCCATAATTTTTGAATTTCTCATATCTTTTGGTCTAATGGTTTTAGATTGTAATTATTTGTTTACTAACATTTTTTTTTGTTTTGTCTTGTCTTTTATTTTTGGGGCATGAAACTTATATGTTCTTTTGCACACACTATCATATGCATTTGCATTACATGACCTCTATACTCGAGCTCTGTCCTTTTTAAGAGGGAGTAAAGTACCTATGCTCTCGTGAGATCATAATCTCTACAATGGCTAGCGAAATACTCCCACTCAAATTGAATTCTTTCCGTTTGTAGCCTGTGATGGGTGAGGATTAGACTGCCTTACTAGTCTATGATGGACAATGATAGTCAAAATCTCCTAACCCTGCATATAGTTCATCCCTAAAAGACCAACCTAAGATAGAGCATTTCCTACCCATTAATAGATATAACCCAAAATTAGGACACAAAAAGGAACGGTATGTTATCTAACCATTTTGTTTGCTTGATTTTGTACATCTACACCATCTTCATGTCATTTCATTCTATGCATCATCTTCATATCATCATTTCCATGTTCTAGCATATCATATCATTCTATCCATCATTTTCATGATAATGTCTAACACCATCATTTGCATATAGGAAATATTTACCACATATCAGTTATTGATAAATCAGATCTCCCACTTACATCTATGGAAAGCCAAGTGCAACCAAAGTCTACATCAGTCCATTATGAGTCTGCTCATCAAGTAAAAATCAAGTCAGAGGAAAGTCAAAAAAAATAAGAAAATTGCTTGCTTGAAGGTTTTATTTCATCATTACCTAAGAAAGTTCATCTCGAGCTATAGCAAAATGATCTAGCTAACTTAAGTATTGTCTGGGGATGCATGGGTAAAATAAGGCAGAAGGTATTTGAGAACAAGTATGAAGATATAGCTTCACTGCTTTCAGGTAGAAGTGGATAGTAATTTGATTAGGGCCATCATTCAATTTTAGGATCCTTCTTATAGATGTTTCATTTTCAATAAAACAGACATGGTGCCCACAATTGAAGAGTATATGGTCCTACTTCGCTTTAATTTACCAAACCTAGACAAGATTTATTGATCCAACAAGGTAGGCTATCGTAAAAAGCTAGTGCAAATGCTTAGATTTAGTTTGCCTCAAGTCGATTCATGTGTCAAGATAAAAGGTGAAAGTAAGGTTATTCCATAAAGTTTTCTGTAAGATTTCATCTAGGGGTACATAGATGACGAGCAGGGATTAGTGGCATGGCTATAGCTTTATATGGATTGGTGATTTTCTCAAAAGTCATCGGATATGTTGATGTTGCAGTAGTGGATTTTGTTGATCAGTTAGCATATCAGGTCAATGCAACACCAACCATTTTGGCAAAAACCATTCGTTCTTTAAACTTTTGTCACAGAAATGGTAAAGGTCAATTTAATGGATGCTTACAGTTGCTTTTATGTATGAATGAAGAGTCACATGGAATGCAAAGAAAGTCAATTTCGCAAACCATACATTTATTCTAGTATTCTTATCAAAGAGTTTTGTTATAGCACATGGCCTCAAGCAAAGTCAAAAAATGAGTGGGTTTCCTATTTTTGAGCCCTTGATAGTCAAGGGATAGTTTGGAGAGCAT